AAAGTGTCTGGTATGGTCATTTCTTATCAAGATAAGGGGTAAAATATCCCTGGACTGTCCATATTTGAAATGTGTAACTAAATATAGTCAATCGGGGGGATTTAGTTATTTGCTCTCACAGACCTGTTAGCTTTTCTTTAAGAAGCCCTCCTGTACTCCACTCATTACCTGTATTAACTGCACCTGTTTGAACTCGTTACCTGTATAAAAGACACCTGTCCACACACTCAATCAAACAGACTCCAACCTCTCCACAATGGCCAAGACCAGAGAGCTGTGTAAGGACATCAGGGATAAAATTGTAGACCTGCACAAGGCTGGGATGGGCTACAGGACAATAGGCAAGCAGCTTGGTGAGAAGGCAACAACTGTTGGCGCAATTAGTTCAAGATGACGGTCAATCACCCTCGGTCTGGGGCTCCATGCAAGATCTCACCTCGTGAGGCATCAATGATCATGAAGAAGGTGAGGGATCAGCCCAGAACTACACGGCAGGACCTGGTCAATGACCTGAAGAGAGCTGGGACCAGTCTCAAAGAAAACCATTAGTAACACACTACGCCGTCATGGATTAAAATCCTGCAGCGCACGCAAGGTCCCCCTGTTCAAGCCAGCGCATGTCCAGGCCCATCTGAAGTTTGCCAATGACCTTCTGGATGATCCAGAGGAGGAATGGGAGAAAGTAATGTGGTCTGATGAGACAAAAATAGAGCTTTTTGGTCTAAATCCACTCGCCGTGTTTGGAGGAAGAAGAAGGATGAGTACAACCCCAAGAACACCATCCCAACCATGAAGCATGGAGGTGAAAACATCATTCTTTGTGGATGCTTTTCTGCAAAGGGGAGAGGACGACTGCACCGTATTGAGGGGAGGATGGATGGGGCCATGTATCGCGAGATCTTGGCCAACAACCTCCTTCCCTCAGTAAGAGCATTGAAGATGGGTCGTGGCTGGGTCTTCCAGCATGACAACGACCCGAAACACACAGACACAGATTCCGTCTCTCACAGTTGAAGTGTACCTATGATAAAAATTACAGACCACTACATGCTTTGTAAGTAGGAAAACCTGCAAAATCGGCAGTGTATCAAATACTTGTTCTCCCCACAGTATATGGCTATATTTCAGATACATTTTTGTACATTTTAATGTTGCAGTAGCAGGACCTATGCCTAGCATTTGAGCGAGCGAGAGAGAATATTATTTTGATAGCAAGCTCTGATCCCAATGACTCAATTGCCCCTGCATGGAGAAAAAGAGAACTGTTCAAATTCTCAGCGACAAAAGAGTGATCAAGTTAAGATCCGACATCTGTAGCTATGGAAACACAATTTTCCTAGTATAACATCAGGGTATATACCCCAGTGTAACACTGGTGTCACAGTTGAAAAGCAGCACAAATGTATGTCTGTGTCGAAAATGGCACCCTATTCCCTTTGTAGAACTATGTAGGGGAAAGTGTGTCATTTTGGAAACTCTTTAAGTGAGGGAAACCTTCAGCCTGTGTATTTACTGAGGGTTCATCATTAGTGGGGGTTTAACACAGGAACACAGTCCTGGAAAAGTTTCCTAACAGTTAGTCTAAATAACAGTGTGTGTGTGTGTGTGTGTGTGTGTGTGTGTGTGTGTGTGTAGCACACATATACCATTTGTGTTTCCTACTAGTTAAACCTAATAACAGTCCAACACTGACAATAATATGAGTCTGGCCAGTCTGACGGGTAACAGTACAGAGTCTGGGCAGGGACATATGACTGTAGTTCTGTGTCTGGAGCTTTATGTGTTTAGGGGAGGAGAGCAGACTATGAGCCGCTGGTTCTGATCATCCGATTGGGCTTCAAAGTCAACTAGCTCTCACAGTCTCACGTCAGAATTTGACGTTCATCCATGTTTCTGAAACGTCAAATTTCGAAGTTGTTCCAAAGGTCCAATTTCAAAGTGTTTAAGGTTAAGTTTAGGCATTAACTCCAAAATCTTAAGGTTAGGTATTAACTCTGAATGGTTAAGTTAAGTGTTAAGGTTTGGGATTGGCTTTCCTCTCAATCTTAAATAAGCATGCCCCATTCAAAAAATTCAGAACTAAGAACAGATATAGCCCCTGGTTCTCCTCAGACTTGACTGCCCTTGACTAGCACAAAAACATCGTGTGGCGTACTGTATTAGCGTCGAATAGCCTCCGCGATATCTTTTCAGGGAAGTTAGGAACCAATATACACAAGCAGTTAGGAACGCAAAGGCTAGCTTTTTCAAACAGAAATGTGCATCCTGTAGCACTAACTCCAAAAGTTTTGGGACACTGTAAAGTCCATGGAGAATAAGAGCACCTCCTCCCAGCTGCCCACTGCACTGAGGCTAGGAAACACTATCACCACCGATAAATCTACAATAATCGAGAATTTCAACAAGCATTTTGCTACGGCTGGCCATGCTTTCCACCTGGCTACCACTACCCCGGCTACCAGCTCTGCACCCTCCGCTGCAACTTGCCCATGCCCCCCACACTTCTCCTTCACACAAATTCAGACAGCTTATGTTCTGAAAGAGCTGCAAAATCTGGACCCTTTCTTTCTAAAATTAGCCGCCGAAATTGTCGCTACCCCTATTACTAGCCTGTTCAACCTCTCTTTCGTAACGTCTGAGATCCCCAGAGATTGGAAAGCTGCCGTGACACTCTAGATCCAAACTGTTACAGACCTATATCCATCCTGCCCTGCCTTTCGAAAGTTTTTGAAAGCCAAGTTAACAAACAGATCACCGAACATTTAGAATCCCACTGTACCTTCTCCGCTATGCAATCCGGTTTCCGAGCTGGACATGGGTGCACCTCAGCCACGCTCAAGGTCCTAAACGATATTATAACCGCGATCGATAATAGACAGTACTGTGCAGCCGTCTTCATCAACCTGGCCAAGGCTTTCGACTCTGTCAACCACCGCATTCTTATTGGCAGACTAAATAGCCTTGGTTTCTCAAATGACTGCCTCGCCTGGTTCACCAACTACTTCTCAGATAGAGTTCAATGTGTCAAATCGGAGGGCCTGTTGTCTGGAACTATGGCAGTCTCTATGGGGGTGCCACAGGGTTCAATTCTTGGGCCGACTCTTTTCTCTGTGTATATCAATGATGTTGCTCTTGCTGCTGGTGATTCTCAGATCCACCTCTACGCAGACGACACCATTTTGTATACATCTGGCCCTTCATTGGACACTGTGTTAACAAACCTCCAAACAAGCTTCAATGCCATACAACACTCCTTCCGTAGCCTCCAACTGCACTTAAAAACAAGTAAAACTAAATGCATGCTCTTCAATCGAACGCTGCTGGCACCCGCCCACCCGACTAGAATCACTACTCTCGACGGGTCTGACCTAGAGTATGTGGACAACTACAAATACCTAGGTGTCTGGTTAGACTGTAAACTCTCCTTCCAGACTCACATTAAGCATCTTCAATCCAAAGTTAAATCTAGAATCGGCTTCCTATTTCGCAACAAAGCCTCCTTCACTCATGCTGCCAAACATGCCCTCGTAAAACTGACTATCCTACCGATCCTTGACTTCGGCGATGTCATTTACAAAATAGCTTCCAACACTCTACTCAGCAAATTGGATATAGTCTATCACAGTGCCATCCTTTTTGTCAAATAAATCTGCATATACTACCCACCATTGTGACTTGTACACTCTTGTTGGCTGGTCCTCACTACATATTCGTCGCCAAACCCACTGGCTCCAGGCCATCTATAAATCACTGCTAGGCAAATCCCCGCCTTATCTTAGCTCATTGGTCATCATAGCAACACCCACCCGTAGTATGCGCTCCAGCAGGTATATCTCACTGGTCATCCCCAAAGCCAACACCTCCTTTGGCCGCCATTCCTTCCAGTTCTCTGCTGCCAAGGACTGGAACGAACTGCAAAAATCTCTGAAGCTGGAGGCTCTTATCTCCCTCACTAACTTTAAGCATCAGTTGTGAGAGCACCTTACCGATCACTGCACCTGTACACAGCCCATCTGAAATTTGACCACCCAACTACCTCATCCCCATAGTGTTATTTATTTATATTACTCATTTGCACCCCAGTATCTCTATTTGCACATCATCTCTTGCAAATCTATCATTCCAGTGTTAATACTAATTGTAATTATTTTGCACTATGGCCTATTTATTGCCTTACCTCCATAACTTGCTACATTTGCACACACTGTATATATATATATTTTCTGTTGTATTTTTTTTAACTTTATGTTTTGTTTTACCCGATATGTAACTCTGTGTTGTTGTTTTTATCACACTGCTTTGCTTTATCTTGGCCAGGTCACAGTTGTAAATGAGAACTTGTTGTCAACTGGCTTACCTGGTTAAATAAAGGTGAAATAATTTTTTTAAATAAAAAACACATTATATTTTGTGTTGTAGATATGTGGTAGTTGAGTAGGGGCCTGAGGGCACACACTTGATGTGTTGTGAAATCTGTTGTGAATGTATTGTAATGTTTTAAAAATTGTATAACTGCCTTAATTTTGCTGGACCCCAGGAAGAGTAGCTGCTTCTACCTTTCTATCATTGGATTCGAACATGCAACCTTTGGCACCAGAGGCAGATGCTTAAGGCCATCCACCATCCCCGTCCACAACAGCCTATCAAACTCAAAACCAAAACCTACTTGATGGTAACAGCACTTACTGTTGCCCTTAGTGGTCGGTTTCCAAGTCAACTCCCAATGTCCTCAGACATGGATGGACGTTGAATACTGACTTGTATCACGCGTGACCTGGCTGGGTTAAAGTATGAGTGCTGGGTCTGGAGGTTTCTAGGTTTAGGGGGTAGGGAGAGCAGACTGAAACCCTGGTTCTGATTATCAGACTGCACTAGGATGGGGAAGCCCTGACTCATCTTATTATACACAGATGGACTAGACACATAGGGAGGGTGGTAAAGCCTATACAGAGGGACACATAATACACAAACACACACACACAGAACACACACGCTTGTACTTACTTCTGTACGGCCCGTGCTATAGACAGAGCAGTAGATCCGGTCTCGTTAACGCTGTCCAGTGTGACATTGGGCAGGTCGTCATCGTCACTGTCACTCTTGATGTGCCGTGGCGACAAGCCGTTGTGGTCAGTGCGTGCTGCCATGGAGACAGACAGAGAAGAGTTAGTCCCATATTTTATATTCTGTACTGTAACATGTGATACTGTCAAGAGGTTACATGAGTTAGACATACAGATATACTATCTTAATTTGATCACTGTGGTAGAAGATAATTTTTCTTGTAGCGTATTAGAGGTTTAAAATGTCAGACTTGATTTACAGTGGGTGTCGAAATTATTGGCAAGATTCGCAAAAAATACTGTATAAAATAAAATACTAATACTGAGCTATATTGTATGCAAAAAAAGTGGGAAATATTATTATTTTATACTAATATACACTGAATGGACAAACATTAGAAACACCTGCTCTTTCCATGACACGCTGACCAGGTGAATCCAGGTGAAAGCTATGATCCCTTATTGATGTCACTTAAATCAACTTCAATCAGTGTAGATGAAGGGGAGGAGACAGGTTAAAGAAGGATTTTTACGCCTTGAGACAATTGAGACATGGATTGTGTATGTGTGCCATTCAGAGGGTGAATGGGCAAGACAAAATATTGAAGTACCTTTGAACAGGCGCACCAGTTTGAGTGTGTCAAGAACAGCAACGCTGCTGGGTTTTTTCACAATCAACAGTTTCCCGTGTGTATCAAAAATGGTCCAACACCCAAAGGACAGCCAGCCAACTTGACACAACTGTGGGAAGCATTGGAGTCAACATTGGCCAGCATCCCTGTGGAAAGCTTTCGACACCTTGTAGAGTCCATACCCTGAAGAATTGAGGCTGATCTGAGGGCAAAAGGGTGTGTTCCTAATGTTCTTAGGGCAAAAGGGGATGTTCCTAAGGTTATGTACACTCAGTGTAATTGTTCAGAGAAAGATATTTTATTTGACAAGTAATATTATTGTTCTCTCAAAAAGATAGTGGTAAACATGATAGGCACCCCTGTTTTCAATATCTTTCAATACCTCACCTTTCGAGGATAACGGCACTGAGCCTTTTTCTAAAGTGTTTTATGAGATTGGAGAATACATTGGGAGGGATCTTAGACCATTCCTCCATACAGAATCTTTCCAGATCCTTGATATCCTTTGTCTGCGTTTATTGACTGCCCTCTTCAATTCAAACCACAGGTTTTCAAAGGGGATCAGAGACTGAGATGGCCATTGCAAAATGTTGATTTTGTGGTCAGTTAACCATTTCTTTGTGGATTTTGATGCTTGGGGTTATTGTCTTGATGGAAGATCCACTTGCGGCCAAGTTTCAGCCTCCTGGCAGAGGCAACCAGGTTTTTTGATAAAATGTCCTGGTACTGGGTAAAGTTCATCATGCATTGACCTTAACAAGGGCCCCAGGACCAGTGGAAGCAATATAGGACCATAACATCAAAGATCCATCACCATATTCTACAGTAGGTATGGGGTTCTATTCTGCTTATGCATAATTATTTTGATGCCAAACCCACTACTGGTGTGCGTGGCCAAAGAGCTCTATTTTCATGTCATCTGACAATAGCACCGGTTCCATTCCAAGTGCCATTGCCGTTTTGCACACGCCAGGCATTTACATTTGTTGGATGACATGAAAATATAACTATTTTGCCACACACACCAATAAAGCTCAGTATTTGTATTTTATACAGTATTCTTTGTCAAGGGTGCCAATAATTTCAGACCCCACTGTATCCTAAGAATTGTTTTTATCAACCCCTACAAAAATGTATATTATTTATAATTCCTGCTGTGAGAAACTAGTCAAATTAAGATAGGATATATGTATGATGTTAGGGTTTGTTTGTACTGCCATTAGACACAAACACGGAAGACAAAGACAGAAGTTCCATATTACATTATACTGTATACTGTACCATATACAGACACAGACAAACCGATACACTTTACAAAAAGTTTTGTCTATCAACAACCACTCCTTAAAATACAGTATATGTTTTAATCATATGTCATACTGTATGCATCGAATAACAGTCCAACATATCAGACAATGTTTTTTTAGTTTTCTGTAAAATAATTTGCTCTTACTGTACATGGTTTCCAGTTACTTGGATTTTATTTGATATTTTCCCTCTATGTTGCTACTTTGGTATTATTCAAATGACCTGTCTGACACCGATTTCTCATTCCTAGTCAGAATGCTCTGACATACTTTCTTTGAATTTCATTCATAGTCATGTTCAATACATTAAATTTCACTCAAAGAAGAGCTTGATGAAGGCCACGTCACTTCACTCATAGAAAACCAAATGAATGTTTTTCAGAATTGTAATACTGTAGCTATATTTTCTCTTCTTTGCATCTAACAGCAATCAAAGCCCCAGCCCTCTTACCCTTTCTGCAGACCAAAATAGATACTGAAAACACCCAGTACATCCTGTACGGTAGACTGTCTGAACCTCTCTGTGTGTGAGTGTGCGAGCGTGCGTGCATGCGTCCATGTGTGTTCGGCACCACAGGGAGTGAAAATGCTCATGCCATGCTACAGGCCGTTAGTCTGACGACTCACACAGAAGTCTTCCGCTGCTCTGTCGTTCGCTACATTCTTTAGTATGACACTGCCATCATTGAAGTTGTTTGTGGTGACGAGGGGCACGAGGGTCGTTGTACAAAACATAGTCATCAGTGTTTGAATTGTCTCTAACCAAAGCAAATGACACATTTTCAAGCTGCCGCTTTACCCACGTGTGCTCTGGCTCTAGCCCAACCCTGGGTCAATCAGACGGCCCCGAATGTGTTCACATTCGGTGAAGGTTCGGGGAGGTACTCAGATCCAGACTCACTGCGGAGAAGACAATAACGTCCATGGGCGTGGCGTAGCGATTGGCAGGAGCAAGGAGTATGGGTAGCCATGCAAACAGGCTGTCCTGCCCTCAGGCCAGTTGTCTGGCATGATTGACAGCTCCTGACAGGAAGTGCCTGCAGGGTCTACACTGAGGATGGGCCCACCCCAGAGACACCCCCACATGTGCAGACACGAACATACACTAATACACATATGCACACACACATATTATTAGCCACTATCACCCCCGCCTTGTAGATAAAAAGCTGGGTGGTGCAGTGTATTTGGGCGTTGTTGTTGTCTCTGAGCAGTGGGTGGGGGACGTTGTGATAGTGATAGCCCATCAACTGTGTGTGTGTGTGTCTACATGCCCACAGTCCGTGTGGGTTGAGCTTTAGACAAAAACATCACTGTCTATTTGTTCAAAAGCACATCTCTCCTACAGCAGACTAATGTACAGACATCTCTCTTTTATTAAAAAATATATTATGAAAGCTTGTGAAATATTATTTTACAATAAATTCTGTAAAACACATTCAGGCTTTTGCCTTTCATGTATAGAGGAATGAAATGATATGTTAAGAAAGACTGAGCTCTGCTCACTGTGTAATCCTGTGGTGGGTAACAGGGACCACAGTGTGTACATGGTCTTCATTATAGACCACTGTTAGTTGTTTTAGAGCTGGGCAAGAACAAAAGCCTGCACTCCCCGCAATAGGCCTGCAGTTTCCCATTCCTGATCATCCACAGCTTCATTTTCCTCAGTTACCAAGCTCAATTCTACATGTGTAAATTCTCTTTTCATTGACCAGGCCAAATGTGACCCTTGACCTCCAGCCGATTGGAGCAATGCTCTATTGTTGCTAATGTTCCTTTGAGAATGTCACAACTTCTCCAATGGGCGACTCACTGGTTATATGACCAGGGCCTTCAGCTATTCTATAGTTAAGCATTCTCCTGCTCTCAGAGTACTGCCAGGACAGAGGCAGAGCAATGCAATGAACAAACTCTGACCAACCCAACAGAATATCGCTACAAAATGTGTGACAATTCATCTACACCTTATTACAATGTCAATATATGGAGCACATACAGTACATGGTAAAATACAAAATACACACTTGCATTGGGGTTCAATTCCATTTCAATAGTCAGTTCATTGAGAATCATAGAGGAAAATTGGAATTGGAAACGGAATTTCAGTTTAATTCTTGAATTGACTGAATTAAAGTAGAAATTGAATGCACTCTGTACCAATCCTGGTATATGTATTTGTATGTATTATGGATCCCCATGCCTTGGCAGCAGCTACTCTTCCTGGGGTCCAGCAAAATTAAGGCAGTTATACAACTTTAAAAACATTACAATACATTCACAACAGATTTCACAACACATTAAGTGTTTGCCCTCAGGCCCCTACTCAACTACCACATATCTACAACACAAAATCCATGTGTACGTGTGTGTATAGTGTGTATGTTATCGTGTGTGTGTGTATGCATGTGTCCCTGCCTATGTTTGTGTTGCTTCACAGTCCCCGCTGTTCCATAAGGTGTATTTTTATCTGTTTTTTAAATCAAATTTTACTTCTTGCATGAGTTACTTGATGTGGAATAGAGGTCCATGTAGTCATGGCTCTATGTAGTACTGTGCACATCCCCATAGTCTGTTCTGGACTTGGGGACTGTGAAGAGACCTCTGGTGGCATGTCTTGTGGTGTATGCATGGGTGTCCAAGCTGTGTGCCAGTAGTTCAAACAGACAGCTCGGTGCCTTCAACATGTCAATACCTCTCACAAATATAAGTAGTGATGAAGTCAATCTCTCCTCCACTTTGAGCCAGGAGAGATTGGATGTACACAGAGAGCTAACATTAATAATATGCATGTCAATGGCCAGCCATGCTGCCCTGTTCTGAGACAATTGCAATTTTTCTAAGTCCCTCTTTGTGGCACCTGACCACACGACAGAACAGTAGTCCATGTGCGACAAAACTAGGGCCTGTAGGACCTGCCTTGTTGACAGTGCTGTTAAGAAGGCGGAGCAGCGCTTTATTATTGACTTCTCCCATCTTAGCTACTGTTGTATCAATATGTTTTGACCATGACAGTTTACAATCCAGGGTTACTCCAAGCAGTTTAGTCACCTCAACTTGCTCAATTTCCACATTATACATTACAAGATTTAGTTGAGGTTTAGGGTTTAGTGAATGATTTGTCCCAAATACAATGCTTTTAGTTTTTGAAATATTTAGGACTAACTTATTCCTTTCCACCAATTCTGAAACTAACTGTAGCTCTTTGTTAAGTGTTGCAGCCATTTCAGTCGCTGTAGTAGCTGACGTGTATAGTGTTGAGTCTTCCGTATACATAGACAAACTGGCTTTACTCAAAGCCAGTGGCATGTCGTTAGTAAAGATTTTAAAAAGTAATGGGCCCTCTGGAATTCCTGATTCTACCTGGATTATGTTGGAGAGGCTTCCATTAAAGAACACCCTCTGTGTTTTGTTAGACAGGTAACTCTTTATCCACAATATAGCAGGGGGTGTAAAGCCATAACACATACATTTTTCCAGCAGCAGACTATGATCGATAATGTCAAAAGCCACACTGAAGTCTAACAAAACAACTCCCACAATCTTTTTATCATCAATTTCTCTCAGCTAATCAGTAATTTGTGTAAGTGCTGTGCTTGTTGAATGTCCTTCCCTATAAGCGTGCTGAAAGTAGTTTACTGTAAAATAGCATTGTATCTGGTCAAACACAATTTTTTCCAAAAGTTTAGTAAGGGTTAGTAACAGGCTGATTGGTCGGCTATTTGAGCCAGTAAAGGGGGCTTTACTATTCTTAGGTAGCGGAATGACTTTTGCTTCCCTCCAGGCCTGATGGCACACACTTTCTAGTAGGCTTAAATTGAAGATATGGCAAATAAGAGTGGCAATATCGTCCGCTATTATCCTCAGTAATTTTCCATCCAAGTTGTCAGACCCCGGTGGCTTGTCAATGTTAATAGACAAAAATATTTGTTTCACCTCTTGGTACACAGTGCATTCAATGTGTTACAGTTAGAGAGGGGTTTACCATAGTTCATAGATGCAATAATATACAACAAAGCATGTCCTATACACTCTCTCTAGTATGCTGTCTATCTGGATGCTACTCTCTCTTCCCCCATCTACCAGCTCAGCTGCTGTCTCAGAGCAGTGCAGACAGTGGCCATAATGGTCTCTAATAATATGGGTCTGTAGGCAGGAGACAGACATGGGGTTATTGTAGGACCCGGGTTCAAATATTATTCAAACCCTTTCAAAACTGTGATGGATTGAGTTTGCTTTGGGCAATTAAACCAAAGGCATACAGTAGTCTCCAAAATTGCCAAACTCCTCCCACTGGCACTCCAGACAGACTCAAGCAAATGCTCAAAGTATTTAGAAAAATTTCAATCACTATTTGAACCCAGGTCTGAGTATTACAGCAGAAAGAAAACACAGCCAATACTAAAACTACAACTCTGTCTCTGATTTTCCTTTATAGGGTCTTCCTTCCCCCCAAGACTGAGAATCTACATTCTCAGCAAGACCCCTAATTACACAGGCTGATTAGTAGAGACGTTAGTTGGAAAACGTGTATTTGGAGCGAGGGAAGGGGACACAAAAGAGGAGTACATGGTGGAGAGGTGGGAAGAGCCCTGGCGCATTTCTTTCTTTCTCTCTCTTTCTTGCCTATTGTTTCCAGTCAAGCCTAGTTTCCATGGCAACCTGCTCCCGGAGACCGATATGAGAGAGGAAGGGCACATGCCCCTCTCTCTGAAAGAGGATGGCCAACCTGAGTGTGTGTATGGGGGGTGGGTGGGCGGTAGGGCCGTGTCCGTGTGAGAGAGAGTGAGAAAAGAGATAGAGCGAGAGAGAGGGAGAGAGAAGAGAGCTGTTCTTTCATCATTCTCTTGATCCTACACTTCATTACAGTCCAGTACAGATAATGCATACAGCAACAGCAATTCCCAAGGAGACATTACGAACATTACTTATTGAGACTAATATAGTGACACTTAGGGATTCTTACATGTCTGCAACTCAGTATGATTGCCAGTTATCAATACATCAGGAACAAATGTCACATCCTACAAAGAAGCACAATAGTGTGGAGCTGTGGTCCAGTGTTAACACTCCTGGCTCCATGCACATATGTGACACCCCGCAGGAGACTGGGGTTCAATCCCAGAGTGTTCCCTTCTCTCTGTGTCTCCTCCTCATCTATCTCCAACTGTTTCAAATCTGTCTGTCAGTAAAATATGAAAGGAGAGTGACTCTCCATAAAAGGAGAACAATAATGTGTCAAATGAGGGGACAGGTCATGTAATCATACAAAGAAGCATATTAGTGTGCATTCCACTATGTGTCTATAGTGAAAGGACGGTACAGTACTTTGGCTCGCTCTGCAGTGCTTTTCCAACCAGAGAAACAGTTTGTTTGGATATACATTTTACATTTACATTTTAGTCATTTAGCAGACGCTCTTATCCAGAGCGACTTACAGTTAGTGAATACATTTTCTTTTATACTGGCCCCCCGTGGGAATCGAACCCACAACCCTGGCGTTGCAAACGCCATGCTCTATCAACTGAGCTACATCCCTGCCGGCCATTCCCTCCCCTACCCTGGACAACGCTGGGCCAATTGTGCGCCGCCCATGAGTCTCCCGGTCGCGGCCGGCTGCGACAGAGCCTGGATATCATTGCAGTACTGCCAAACCCAATGACTCTACAGTTGAATGCAATGTTCTTTCTGTAACGTCTTACGCTATATGACCCATAAAACACACACACACAAATATGCACACACACAAATGTACACACACGGTAACTGTACAGTACAATACAGTACAATGCAATGCTCTGTGTGCCTCATGTTCTGGCTGTATAACCACAGTGACTGTGTCTGCCCCACCCCAGGGCTGACCCCGATTCCCATGCTCTCCTCTCACACACTGGATGGAGCTGGTGGTGTTGCTGTGTGTGTGTGTGTGTGTGTGTGTGTGTGTGTGTGTGTGTGTGTGTGTGTGTGTGTGTGTGTGTGTGTGTGTGTGTGTGTCTGTGCTCTCAATGTACACTGCCACCCATCTTCAATATCGGTCTCCACCCTATTACGCAATCCTTGTTTTTCCTCTCTTTCGTCCTCTCTCCTCTCCCAGAATGCAGACACCCAGCGTTTAAAGCGCCCGTCTCAGTGGACCCTCCCGCATACCCAATGAGTGGGTGTGTGTGTGTCAATCTGCCAGGGAGTGACGGACAGCAACCTCAGATAAACAATGTTATTTTACAACAAACTGCTCCCCAGTGTACAGCCTCCAGTCCACTTGACAGAAACACCCAAAGTCACTAGTGGTTTACACACAGTGACTATAAAACCACACCCTGTAACAAGCCTGCCTGCTCCAAAACTCTCTCTCTCTCTCACTCTCTCAAATCCTCTCTCTCTCTCAAATCTAAGTATAACCCAGACCCAGATGTGTGCTTTAGATTAGGGGAAAGAAATACGGCAGCCTGCCTGGTCCTCGTTACTTGGACTGGAGGCAATAGGACGGCCGAGGAGAAAAATCCTCACACTTACAGACAGAAAGCTTTTCATCCTCTAAATCTCATCTGCTCTCAGAAGGAGTGCGTTATCTCCTGGGGTCCCTCTTTAGCATAGGGCACACACATGCCTGTCATTACACCGGATGGTGTTGTGTCTTTCTCTGTCTCCTCTCTCTTTTCATTTCTGATCAGAAGTGTTCTCATACTGTATTGTAGACATTGTCTGTTGAGACAGAAGGGAGGAGAAGGCAGGACTATGTATGGGTGGCTAACTTTATCCCAAGTAACTCCATCTATGGCATTGGGATGATAAGGCAGGAAGATGTTTAGTATGATGTTTGTCTGAATGTCAGGCTGTTGCGTCCGGGTACAAGACAATACATGCAACTAAACAGTCATGACACTGTTGTGACACACAGGGCTTATAGTGTACAGTAACTGCAGTACATGGCAAGGTAAGATGAAGTGTTACATAAGTATCCTTGTCCCACTTTTGTCATATACTGTACATTCCCATAAAGAGTAAAAAGAGAAGAGCGAGGGAGGAGAAGACCGAAGACAATTTGGAAATGAGATGTGAGATCACAGAGAGAAGGTAGTCTTCTGCCTTGTCTCACATGACTCTTCAGGATGACGAGAGAGAGAGAGAGAGAGAGAGAGAGAGAGAGAGAGAGAGAGAGAGAGAGAGAGAGAGAGAGAGAGAGAGAGAGAGAAGAGAGAGAGAGAGAGAGAGAGAGAGAGAGAGAGAGAGAGAGAGATAAAGAGAGCGACAGATAAGAGAGAGAGAGAGCACGCTCTTTGTCTCACCTTTGCAATGGTGGCTCTTGTGGTCGTCCAGCAGAGGTAGCATGATGGCATTGTTGTGGAGGCTGGAGGGGGAGCGCACGGCCTTGGTGTGCATGAGGGGCAGCGACTGCACCACCACAGGGATACGATGCACTTGGTGGCCCCCCATCTTACCCCCTACTCCTCCTCTGCCCTGTACCCCTCCAAGGTTCAGGGGGCTGGAGCGTGGCGGCGGCACGGGGTGCATGATGTGCAAAAACTGCTGTTGATGATGATGACCCCGGACAGCAGCTCCAGGGGCTACCAGGGGCCCGGGTGTGAGCACGGACGAGGCGGAGGTGATGACAGACAGAGAGGAGAATGACAATGATGAAGAAGAAATGGAGGGCGGAGAGAAAGCCGAAGTGACAGGAGAAGCGGTGGAGGTGAAGGACGGGGGTGAGGGGCGGGGCTTGTTGATTGACAGGTCGACAGGCTCGGTCTGTGTCTGGAAGTGGGGATCATGGGAGAGCAGGTCCTCAGGAGGTTCAGGTTTGACTTTGCTTAGCAGGAGGGGGACGGTGTCCATCGTGGGGTAGCTGTGTACTTTGGGGGACTAAAGAGGAGAAGAGAGACACATTTCTGATTATTGATCCAACATCTGTATTAGTCATTGGTGGTCGTGCCTTTGCTATGCATACCACTTAACCCTGCCAAAACACACACTTTTGACCTTTGGGGGATTGAGGGAGGAAAAGAAACACATGAGTCAAAAGATCCATGTTCTATACATGATCTACATGTGTCATGATTTTGCAGCAATACATATAGCCCATTGGAACTACTACACAAGCTGTGGCCAAAGACATATTCCAGTGGCAGAAAATTATTGCTGCCTTATGTCCCATAAAGGATGAAGAGGACTGAGTAAGTATTGGAACTAGCTAGTCTATATGTACAACGGTGTCCATATTAACAGCCTCAATCTCAGCAGGACTTGTTTCAATCTCAGCAGGACTTGTTTCAATCTTTCATTCTAAGGTAACATAAATACATAGATGATGATGTCCTGTATGATAGAGATATAATGACAAAACAGACATGTGTATGCACTGATATTTTCTAGATTAGAGAGGGTGAAGTATGTGAACATAGTAATATCCTCTTGCTCATGGAAGCCGTCAACTCCCAAAATGATTCATCTGTCGTAACTATGATGTCATAGACCGAGAGGAAATGATGGAGAACGTTTGGTCTCTTCTCTCTACTGGCATTTGTTACTTTCTCTCTTGAAGTGTATGTCTCTCTCTTTGTGGCTCTTGTCATCTCTTATTGTGCTTATCTCTCATTCTCTCTCTTTTGGCCCCTCTCTCTTTCCCTGACTCTTTCCACCCCCCTCATTCGCTCTCTTTCTCTTTCTCCACCTCTCGCTCTCTCTCGCCTGGTATTTGTCTCTTTCTCCCTCCTGGTTTCTATCCCACAGGAACACAGCTCTCTTTGCTCTCCCATATCTCTCCTAAATCTCCTTTCGTGATGGTGGAAAAACATAATATGGGCCATCATCTGTCCCAGGCCTCTTAAGGTTCAGTGTGTCCCTCCATGCACCCCATACTTAACACATCCCAGGCCTCTAAGTCACACTGTTCTGTCTGTCCAGAGGCATTTCATAACACTGTTTATCTCAACTTAACTATCTAGGACATACCACTGTCAACTGCTAGCCTGCTACTGTCAATACACAGGACTCTCTGAACATGGTGGCTGCATGAAAGGCCCTATTTTAAAACATAACTATTACAATGTTTTAAGAAGTAAATCCACAACAGTATGTGCATGAATAACCCTGTAGAACGTTTTAATAGTAATTTATAAAATCCACAGATACAAACTATCCATTGTATTTATCAGTAATCTGTTACCAACAAGGTTACACTTTACTGTAGGTGTCCTTTCACATTCACATAACCTTTATAACAGCTACATAACACATTATAACATTCATCATAAGCCTTCGTTAACAGTTATTGAGCAACGGCATGTTATGTAGCTGTTATAAAGGCTTTATGAATGCATACAAAGGACACCTACAGTAAAGTGTACCAGATAAATGAAGCTATGTGTGAATGTTACATTCCCCAAAAAGAAACCAAAAAATGATCTCTCAAACAGAAGGGGGAACTAACAAAGAGTCACTAAAAACAACCAAAACAAAACAGGTAGGGGTTTCGAAGAGGTTCTCAAAGCCACCTATGTCCACTGAAAGTTGCAAGCAACAAGAAATATGGGTCCTAAAAGACACTCACCATAAGTGCCCACTAAATTTGCACAAGAAAAGGCAAACGAAAATAAAAACCAACACCAACCTATAATATGCAGTAAAAAGAAAGTGGAGCAAACCAAATAGGGAGACCCAAAATAAAAGGCTTTGTATTCACAAACTTAAAGAGGGAACGCTAAACAGTGGTCTAGGTCTCTCATGCCCACTGGAGCTCTGGGTGAAACTAATGACAGACTAACGAGGCTACAGGTGCAACACATCCTGACCAACAAGGATGATTCCAATCAGGGCAAGCCACACCCAAACAGAACCAACCTCTATAATCCAAATCGAAATTGAAAATGATATTGAGCAAAACCCAAATGCCTATAACAGTGGAAAACGTAAACTGGTATATAAGTATACTTGTTTACACTGTATACAGGGTTGGGGAGTAACGGATTACAAAAATACCTGTAAATGCAATTCGTTACATTACCAACAAAAAAATTGTAGTCAGATTACAGATACTTTTGAAAAACTAGATGATTACTTCTAGGATTACTTTTAAATTCAGAAAGGATGTTTGCCAAATAATTATTTGACACCTTTCTGTTTTCTCAATGACATTCAAATCAGCATTGAAAAAAGGCAGCAAGTTTAAGTTTGTTCTGCCTGAGCGAGTCTGACCACAAGTCAGAGAACACTATGATGACACACCAAATGCGTTTGATGGATCGCAGGAAAAGAGCAGGAACAGGCTTTTGTAGGATACTTCCAATGGTGCGACAGTTGTCGGAATCCAAAGATTATCCAACTTGAATAAACTCTTAGAGGTAATGACTACAGCAGTGGTGTAGCCTACGGGCGATACAGATGTCACTTAGGCCTATTAGGCTACATAGCGCATTGATGCGAATCACACTGCTGCTCTCTCATTTAGCTATTTGCACCTTACGGATTGTAGTTGTTGTGGATGGCTGTTCACAAATGTATATGTGTATTTAACCTCTATGGGATCGGTGTCCCGTATATGGGACGGTTGAGCTAACGTGAACTAATGTGATTAGCATGACTGTTGTAAGTAACAGCAACCTTTCCAGGACGTAGACATGTCTTATATGGGCAGAAAGCTTAAATTCTACATAATCTAACTGCACTGTCCAATTTACAGTAGCTATTACAGTGAAAGAATACCATTCTATTGCTTGAGGAGAGTGCACAACAACAAAAAACGTATCACGGCAACTAGTTTGATACATTCCCCTCTGAAGCTAAATAATGTACTTACATTCAGTAATCTTGCTCTGATTTGTCATCCTAAGGGTCCCAGAGATAAAATGTAGCATAGTTTTGTTTGATAAAATCCATTTTTATATTCAAATGTAGGAACTGGGTTCTACAGTTTGAACCCCTGCTGTCTCTGGCTCCACACCCACCCCACCTGGCCATCTAGATGTGTGAAAGTTTGTGTATAAGCTAATGATCCATCATGTATGACATTCCCGGGAGTGTGCAAACGTACATTTTGTATTACCATATCATTTTTGTATGTTCTCTATAGTTATGTACTTGAAAATGTATCATTTGACCAATTCGGCACATTTGGGCAGACTTGATAAAAAATAGTCCAATATTGCATCAATCTGAAACGTTGCACACACACTGCTACTAGTGGCCAAAATCTAAATTGCTCCTAAACTGCAATTTCATATTTCTCTTGCATTTCAAAAATGATGGAACAAAAAACAGAATAGAAAACGCATATTTTTCTATTATCTTTTACCGGATCTAATGTGTTATATTCTCCTACATTAATTTCACATTTCCACAAACTTCAAAGTGTTTCCTTTCAAATGGTATCAAGAATATGCATATCCTTGCTTCAGGTCCTGAGCTACAGGCAGTTCGATTTGGGTATGTCATTTTAGGCAAAAATTGAAAAAAAGGGTCTGATCCTTAAGAGGTTAAACCCAATAATGGTTGAATTGAAGAAGTTTAAGCTGCCTATCAATCATTGCTTTTGCGACATGGGGTGTATTCATTACGGAAACTGTTCACCGTTTAAGAACCAAATGGAAGCAAACAGAGCAAAACGAGAGTTTCTATTGGACAAATTCAGGTAGGTCCCTCCCCGTTTCGTTCCGTTTGCTTCCGTTTAAGAAACGTTTTGCAACAGAAACGGCATAAAGAATACGCCCCAGTGGACAGCCAGTGAAAAATGCGCTCTTGCAACAGCTGTGTCGTGCGGATCCCAGCCTATGGAATGAAAGTTTATACCACTCCCACGTGGTATTGTGCTGCATACTGTCAAAAAATGAGTTGAATTTAAGAACACCACGAGTGGGGCTTTTACTACTCAATCTAATTTGTGCTGATTTAAAAAAAAGTCCATAGGCCTAACAGACACATATTCAAACTCAAGCACTTTTGATAGACAAACAGCTGCAAATTATTGAGATATCAAAGTGTCACCAACAAAAACGTAAACAATAGACCTATAGCAAATGCAGCATATGGAATACATTTTTCACATGCAAATAGCACTTTTTGGTAGTGCTCAAAGCATGCCATTCCGAGAGCAGCATTTATTTTTCAACTCGAAGCAATGAGCCCAAACAGTCCTCAATGACAACAAAGTCCTTAACAACAGAGTAGGCTAATTAGTCCTTCGTTTTTGGGGTATGCTCAGGTAAAACAATTTGGCTAATCGATATTTAAATATTTCCTTTCAAGTCCTATTTTTGAATATCAAGGGGTATTAAATTAATTGGAATGACTGAATATCTGACAGACTCTGTTGTTGTTTTTATGTAAAGATATAAGAAATATTTTATTATCTGTAGTAGAAAACAGTGGGTTAGAAGAAGCCTACATAACCAACCCATAAAGTAAAATGCAACATCCATTTATGGTCAGCTATCTAAACTCTGACATTGATTTATCCTGCAATAGATGTTCAATTGGTAATATTAATTTTTGTCTTCTTCTAATGCCTCTTAAGCAGGTTGACATTTTTTTGGATGATACTTGTCCTTAAGGCAGAACTGAGTTATTTCTGCAAGATGGGCCAGCTGCAAAGTCAAAATTAGCTATATTAAACTGTTTATGATTTTATTTTTTAGCTTTTTGGTCTTAATTTAAGGTTATAGTTAGGCATTAGTGTTAGCAGTGTGGTTATGGTAAGGGTTGGTGTCACAAGTGTAGAGAGGAGTAGGCAGGAAGCAGTCACATGTTTAGAACTACTGAATTTATTAAAGCGCCATAGCTTAAAGTGGGACGAAACCCACAGTGCAAAATATAAAGTACTCAGGAAATAGTAGGAGAGATTCCTCTCAGGAAAACACGCAACATATACAATGACCGACAAAGACAAATGACAGAGGGAGTATATATACAGTGATAGAGTGGGGATTGGAACCAGGTGTGTGTAATGATGACGAGACAAGTCTGGGGTTGATGAGTGAAGGCCGTTTGCCAGCAGCAGGTTCAGCAGCAGCTAGAAGGCCGGCGATGCCGAACACCTGAGCTGGACAGGATGGGGAGCAAAAGCGAAGGCTGGTGTGACAGGACCCGATACGATAATTGACAGGGAGCTGTAATCTGCGTGTCACCTCATTTATTCTCCTCAGGACTTTGAATGGCCCAACAAACTGCGGGATCAGCTTCCGCAGTGCAGGCGGAGGGGCAGGTCCTTTGTAGAAAGCCAGACCCTGTCACCGGGGTGAAAGACCGGGGCCACACTGCGGTGACGATCGGGTGTGCGCTGTGTTCCATAACTCCTCAGTGCGCCTGAACCAATCGTCCACCGCTGGAGCCTTGATCTGACTCCAGTGCCATAATGCCAGGGCCGGCTGATAGCCTAGAACACACTGAAAGGGTGTGAGGTTAGTGGAGGAGTGACGGAGGGAGTTTTGTGCGTGTTCTGCCCATGTCAGAAATGCAGCCCACTCCCCCGGCTGGTCCTGACAGTAACTACGAAGGTACCTACCCAGTTACTGATTTACCCGTTGCACCTGCCCATTAGACTGGGGACGGTACCCAGAGTTGACCTCCAGTCATTTCATGAAGGCCTTCCAGACACGGGAGGTGAACTGAGGACCACAGTCAGACACGATGTCCTCCGTGATCCCGTAGCGCCGGAAGACGTGAGAGATGAGAGCCTCCGCGGTCTGCATGGGTGTAGGGAGACCAGGCAGAGGAATCAAATGACAGGCTTTGGAAAACCGGTCCACAACGACCAGCACAGTGGTGTGCCCCTCCGAGGGGGGAAGGTCTGTGACAAAGTCCACGGAGAGATGGGAGCAGGGTCATTGTGGAACCGGCAGCGGGTGGAGTTTGCCATAGGGGAGGTGTCTCTGTGCCTTGCTCTGTGCGCAGGTGGAGCAGGTAGAGACGTAAACCAGGAAGTCCCGGGCCAAGGTGGGCCACCAGTACTTGTCGGAGAGACAGTCGATAGTACGGGCTATACCCGTGTGCCCCGACACAGGTGCTGTGTGTGCCCAGGCGAGGAGACGGTCCCGCACATCAGAGGGCATGTAGATATGCCCCTCGGGACAGTGGGCAGGTGAGGGCTCTGGTCTCTGCATTTCGAGAGAGGGTAAATGTGCCCCCACGGGAGGGTAGAACCAGGCAGTAGGTCGATAGTGCAGTCCTATGGGCGATGAGGGGGCAGGCATGTGGCACTAGTCTTCGAAAAGGCCACCTGTAGGTCCTGGTATTCCTCCGGGATAGGGACGTGGGTGGCCTGCTCCGGACTTTCCACGGAGGTGGCACAGATAGACACCGAGAGACACCTCCCCTGACACTCCTGCGACCAACCCAACAGCCTCCTCTCTGTCCACGATATACTTGGGTTATGCAACTGTAACAGGGGAGACCTAAAACTATGGGGTGTGCAGGAGAGTCTAAGATGAGGAACGTGATGCGTTCATGGTGGTTGTGATCAACTGTGAGGGAAATGGGGATCGTGGTCTGGCTCACCAGTCCTGTTCCTAGGGGACGGTTGCCTAGGTCATGGACTGGGATAGGGGGTTGTGAAGGGACTAGAGGAATGCGTAATGATAAGGCCACTGACCGGTCTAGGAAATTGCCTGCAGCACCTGAGTCCACTAGGGCAGGACTCAGTGGGGGACCAGGATAGTCCGGGAAGGTGACAGGGAGGAGGATGGGCTGGGTGGACAGAGTGGAGCAAGGCACATCCACGCCTACCTGGGAAGGTGCAGGAGCGCTCCTCGGCCTGTCGCTTCCTCGCCTGGTTCTCCTTCTGGGACAGGTGTTCCAGGGGTGGTCCGACTCCCCGCTGTAGGAGCAGAGACCCTGTTGACGGCGGCGTTGACGTGCCCACCTCCATGGGCTCAGTCTTGCAGGAGGTTCCTGGGAGAGACCCGAACCCCTGGGATGGGCGACGACGGGCACGCAGGAGATTATCCATGCGGATGGCCATGGCGATGAACTGGTCCAGCGTGAGGTCCTCATCGCAACAGGACAGCTCGGTGTGGACATCTGCCTGTAGCCCACTGTGGAAAACCGTCAACAGGCCCTGATCGTTCCAGCCAGTGGACGCAGCCAACGTCCGGAAATCCAGAGCGTACTCAGACTCTGTCCTGGACCCCTGGCGCAGATGGAGGAGATGCTCACCTCCCTCTCGGCCCTCGGTTGGGTGGTCGAAAAAGGCATGGAAGAGTTGGATGAAGCGTTCATAGGACTGTACTTCTGGACCGTCCCTCTCCCAGCCGGCGTGCGCCCACTCCAGAGCCCGGCCTGTCAGCACTGAAATCACCAAGGCCACCTTGTCCCTTTCAGAGGCCGTCCCGGCATGACGTGCAAGGTGGAGGTCACACTGCAGTAGAAACCCCCTACAGTGAGCTGGGGTGCCGTGAAACCACTCCGGGAGGGGCAGGTGGACGTTGCTGATCGGACCGAGTGATGTAGATGTGTTCATGGTGGTTGGGGTGGCTGGAACGACCGTGAGGAGTTGGGAAGGTGGAGGTGTAGCCTGCAGTTGGCATACGGTCTGGATCACCTCGTCCATGGCAGTCCCGAGGTGCTCCAGGCACCTGAAAGGCCGCTCAGCAAGGAAGAAGCCACTGCTCCAAAACCGCCATACAAAAATGCCAGACCACGGTTTGCAACTGCACATGGGGACAAAGATCGTACTTTTTGGAGAAATGTCCTCTGGTCTGATGAAACAAAAATAGAACTGTTTGGCCATAATGACCATCGTTATGTTTGGAGGAAAAAGGGGGTATCTTGCGAGCCGAAGAACATTATAGCTTGTAGCTCACACCATTCAGACTTTATAGCCACTCTACCGCTCTACCACAGCCTCCTTTCACAGCAGCAGCTAATAGCGGATTTAGTGGATTGAGACAGATCCAATGCAAGTACCCAGATGTTTCTAGCTCAAACAAAACCGGAAAAATTGCAGGGGAAAGGTTGGGGAATGGAGCTCAACTATAAGAAAAGTAACAGCATACAGTATGTCGCGCTGCATATTATAATTTCACTTGCAATGCATTAGCTCACAGCGCAGTGGAAAATTATGCCCAGAAGCTCCTGATCAGGCTATGAATGGTACTCGTAATTTGCTAAGTACATAGCAACTCCACCCCAGTGTAGATGAGCCAAACAAACAGCAGCTACGTTAGGCTAGCTGTTGTTTTCAAAGACTAGCATTTTCAACATCAAAATTCCTCCATTGATCACGTGACGTCAACACATGACGTAATCTTGCCTTCATAACATATTCCATGCACTGTATAGCCCCTCGGCTATTGTTGCGTTTTCTCTGAATAAGAGGATATCTAAAACTTGATGAAGAATATAGAAATTATGTAATGAAAAATGCTGAGAAGGCTGGACTGGTAGGGTTAACATGCTTGTTGTGTGTTCTCTGCCTGTTTGTGTGAACTTTATAGGCGGACAGTGATAAAAAGTGCCTGAGGCCAAAGGACTCTGAGGCATCGGACCTTTGGAGACTGAACTTGAAATATTGTGTCTCTTCTTTTTGTCAATGCAAGCTATTCAGCTTTGGATGGCTACTGTAAGCATTGGCTTTGACTTGTTTTGTTTCTTTCAATATTGCCATATTTCCTACAAGTAGCAGGACAGAGGGAAAATGTGAGATAGACAAAGATATTCTATTTCAAATGATTAGGAGATGTTTTTGTTTTCATAATCATTACGCAATTTAATCTGTCAAAGCAATGTACTTTACTACTGTCAGAACAATGTACTTTATAAGCACTGGATCACTGACAATCAGACCTGGGTTCAAATATTATTTGAAATCATCACTTTAGCTGGGATTGATTCAGCTTGCCTGGCGCAATGGATGGCACCAATAGAATAGTTGCACAACTGTAAACCCCGCCCATCTGGCACTCCAGGCAGACTAAAAGTATTTGAAAGATTTCAAGTAGTATTTGAAGCCACATCGGCTTTGGAGTTTTGAAAATCAATAATTTGCTACAGTCAAAAGGCTTTGGCAGAGGAATTGACAGGATGTCATATAGGCCGATAGGCTGTGGTTCCTTCATATTACCAAGAGATGGCAAAACATTGCTGTGGTTTAAAAGGTCAAAATAACAGGGTGGATAAGGTTGCACAGAAGTGAAAAACATCAACTGAAATGTGCATATTGGTGTAGGCTTTGTATGGATCTCAACCCAACTGAAATGGAAAATGTTTTTGAAACCTCAGCCACCCCCAGTTTCTATTTCACAAAAACACACTCAGTCGCACACACACATGTGCATAGTCGCACACACACATGCGCATAGTCGCACATGCATGCATACACAGTGACTGACTTGGACAAAAATAGGTGCTGGTACTCATGTTGGGTGCCGGTACTGTTTATATTTTGGTGCAGGAGCTCCACAATACTTTTGAGCTAATATTCTATAAGAGAAAGCAGTAGAAAATTTGAGGTGCCGGTACTCAGCTCCGGTGAGCTCCTGCCCAAGTAAAGCACTGTGCATACACAAAAACGCACACATGTTCACTTGTATTATCCCTCAGACATGCATACATATACATACACACGTACACACACACACAAACAGTACACACTCTGTAAAAATTGTTTCAACAAATTATTATTAAGTAACTTGTTCCACTGTGATGAGTGTGATGAAAGGAGGCAGGCACAGGAGGGTAATCACCGAATACAGCGTTTAATCCTTCGTTGACACACAAATGCGCTCAAATAGCGATCAACGAAACAGGCACAGGGGAAACTCTTATCCCTGGCAACAACAAGGTAAGGGTAGCTCAACCGAGCTACCCACAGCTCTACAAACAATCACCCACACAGGGTAAGCAGAGGGAACACTTATACAATGACTAATGAGGGATAAGGACCAGGTGTGTGTGATTGATAAGACAAGACAAATGGAGTGATGATAAATGGATCGGCAGTAGCTAGTAAGCCGGTGATGCCGAACGCCGAAACCTACCCGAACAAGGAGGGGAGGCAGCCTCGGAAGTCGTGACATCCACAGACTTTTTTTTTTGTTACTCAACTTTTGTTTACTCAACTCATAGTGTGGAAATATATATAAAACACAGAAAAATCACACTTTTGACTGCCTTTGTTTTCCATTGTGCCCCTAAGTTTATTACTGGTGATGGTTATAGAACTCACCATTGAGTTTTGTATCAAAAAGTGGGTTGGGCCTCTTTGTATGTAAGGAGAGAGCAGTCTTTTCTTGTGTTAATCTATAAAGCACTCATGCGGAAACGTCCTATCTATCTATCATCATTTATTCAATTTAGACTTACAAATGACCAAACCCGGTCTCAGGCTTGGATAACACTGCACCCTTTCGGTCTCCAGAGAGTTGGGTAAAGCTACTTTTAGTTTTTTGCGCCCTTTATGCAGAACAACTTACAGAGCTCTCTGAAATGACATGTTCTGGTCCCCCTTGGTCAGTCCGGAGTAATGATCAGAGACCTCTATGTTGATAAATGTGTCTGTTTTTCTTAATATATTTTGTAATATTGTATATTGTATGTGTTTGATGTATTTACAGTGCCTTCAGAAAGTATTCACACCCCTTGATTTTTTCTTCGTTTTGTTGTGTTACAAAGTGGGAATAACATTGATTTAATTGTCATTTTTTGTCAATGATCTACACAAAATACTCTGTAATGTCAAAGTAGAAGAAACATTCTAAAATGTGTTTAAAAAAAATACAACACTAAAATATCCTAATTAGATAAGTATTCAATACATGTTAGAATCACCTTTGGCAGCAATTACAGCTGTGAGTATTTCTGGGTAAGTCTCTAAGAGCGTTCCACACCTGGATGGTGCAACATTTGCCCATTATTCTTTTCAAAATTCTTCAAGCTCTGTTAAATTGGTTGTTGATAATTGCTAGACAACCATTTTCAGGTCTTGCAATAGATTCTCAAGCAGATTGAAGTCAAAACTGGAACTCGGACACTCAGGAACATTCACTGTCTTCTTGGTAAGCAACTCCAGTCTAGATTTGGCCTTGTGTTTTAGGTAATTATCCTGCTGAAAGGTGAATTCATCTCTCAGTGTCTGGTGGAAAGCAAACTGAACCAGGTTTCTTCTAGGATTTTGCCTGCGCTTAGCTCCATTCCATTTCTTTTTAATCCTGAGAAACTCCCCAGTCCTTAACAATTACAAGCATGCCCATAACATGATGCAGCCACCACTATGCTTGAATATGGAGATTGCTACTCAGTAACGTGTTATATTGGATTTGCACCAAACATACACTTTATATTCAGGACAAAAAGTTAATTGCTTAGCAACATTTTTTGCTGTATTACTTTAGTGCCTTGTTGCAAACAGGATGCATGTTTTGGAAGTGTTTTATTCTGTACAGGCTTCCTTCTTTTCACTCTGTCAATTAGGTTAGTATTGTTGAGTAACTACAATGTTGTTGATCCATCCTCAGTTTTCTGCTATCACAGCTATTAAACTATGTAACTGTTTTAATGTCACCATTGACCTCATGGTAAAATCTCTGAGCGGATTCCTTCCTCTCCGGCAACTGAGTTAGGAAGGACGCCTGTATCTTTGCAGTGACTGAGTGTATTGATACCCCATCCAAAGTGTAATTAATAACTTCACCATGCTCAAACGGATATTCAATGTCTGCTTGTTTTTAGTTTTCACCCATCTACCAATAGGTGCCCTTCTTTGCGAGGCAATGGAAAACCTCCCTGGTCTTTGTGGTTTGTGGAATCTGTGTTTGAAATGTGTCTGCTCTACTGACGGACCTTACAAATAATTGTATGTGTGAGGTACAGAGATCAGGTAGTCATAAAAATATAATGTTAAGCACTATTATTGCACTCAGAGTGAGTCCATGCTACATATTATGTGACTTTCTTACTCCTGAATGTATTCAGGCTTGTGATAACGAATGGGTTGAATACTTATGAACTCAAGACATTCCAGCT